TTAACTTTTTTTTTTTTTTTTTTTTTTTTTCAGTCGTTCATATGGATGCAACAAGCAATGCATCCGGAGTTGAACTACAGTAGTTATTTCCGAAAGAAATGGGTAAGTCATTCACTTCACTTCATGGAAGAAGTATTGATATGAACAGATCTCACCAAAAAGAAAATGGGTATTGAACTATTGATTTGAACACTAATATGTTATGATATGGACAAAAAGTAGCGACAGGACCAAGAGAACTTGTCCCCCAAGATTCATGGGCCAAAGAAATAGTTCCTATATTTCATAAAAAAGTATTAATAAAAAATTTTAAACTTTTGAACTCTTAGTGCACATGTTCGTATTTAAATTCAGTGTACATTGCAGTTTCAATGGAAAATCGTGCCATTCAAGAACTTGTCGATAAAGAAATGGCTAAAGGAGATAAGACAGAGCAGAAAAGAAGAGGATAGGCTTCAGAGAGCTGAAATTCATGCAGCTATATCCGTGGCAGGTGTAGCAGCTGCACTTGCGGCGATTGCAGCCGACACCACGAGATCAAGAGATGACAACTCAGACTGCGGCGCGAGGGATGCTGCTGTGGCTTCTGCAGCCGCATTGGTGGCTGCACAGTGCGCACAAGTGGCCCAAGCAATGGGCGCCAAAAGGGAACAGCTTACCACTGTAATTGGGTCAGCCATGAGCAGTATCACAGGCACTGATATTCTCACACTCACAGCTGCTGCAGCTACATGTACATATTTTATAAATCTGAGCTATAAATCTGGCTGTTGTGCTTGTTGTGTAGTTGAATTGCATAATCATTTTGTGTTTGCAGCCTTGAAAGGAGCGGCCACGCTTAAAGCAAGATCTGAATACAGAAACAAGTCAAGTGGAGTTGCTTCTGTGCTACCTATAGAAGACAACCATGAGGTTCAGATTGATTTCAATCTTGAGAAATCAAGATCCACGCTCGCCAAAGGTGTTCTTCTCAAAGTTGAGTCCCCAAACGGTAAGATCACAAGTACCTCAAATCACAAACCTTTGAAGTACCAATCAAATCTTTATTTTCTTTCACTAAAAAAAGTATTTTTTTTTCAGGAAAGTACAAGAAGAGATCCATCTCTATCATCCAAAACAGTGACACCAAGGTTTGATTCTCAATTCTTCATAGGTTTCATGAAATAATCTCATGTGTATCCGCTTTGTTGATTATAGAGTAAAGACATTCAGCGCGAGCAGATATTGTTTTCTTTGACCTTTCCCTTTCGAGATTATTCTCAAGGTTTTTAAAATGTTGTTTGATAAAGAGAAGTTTCTACCCTGGTCCTCTTTGGACTTTCCCTTTTAGAATTTCTCTCGAGGTTTTTAAAATAGGTTTGCTAGGAAGAAGTTTCCACTCTTGTCTTTTTTGAGCTTTCTCTTTCGGGTTTCTCTTCGGTGTTTTTAAAACGTGTCTACTAGGGAGAGGTTTCCAACTTTCCTTTTCTAGCTTCCCCTCAAGGCTTTTAAACGGGTATGTTAATGAGAGATTGTCATACTCTTGTAAAAAATGTTTGGTTCTCAGTCTCCACATAATGGATTTTGCAGGTGATTTTGAAGGTAAAAAAGCTCAACATGTTGAAGACCAAACAAGAGAGTAAGTCATTTTCAGTTCAAAATACCATTGATTTGAACTTCGAAAGGGCTTTGAGTCCATTATCTTAACTGCTAAATTTTTGTATCCAGGCGTTGTGTTGGATATGTACATTGAGCTGTACAGACATGAAAATGAAGATGATGAGGACAACAATGAGGACGAGGAGAGTAATACGTGTTATCTCATTGTGTTGACTACAAATAAGGGCACATTCAAGCTAGATATGGAGAACGATTATCATAAATACAAGATCTGGGCAACCACCGTAAATCAAATGCTCATGCTTTCTGCTCATTCTTTCACAAGATTATGAACTTTTCCATTTTCATGTTATGGTGTTGCTTTATGCACGATGCTATGTTTCCATAATTCTATATTTGTAATTTAATTATATTGTGTAATTAAATTTGGTACATATTTTCATCTAATATCATATCATAATTTTGCTTTCTTATACAGAAATGTGTGTAAATTATCTCCTTCAACCTCTCAAGAAATAATGTCAAATGCCAATTTTCATTTTATAGTAAAGTAAGTCTATAATCCAAGTAACCATGTTCCAATAACGTTAGCAAGATGAATATTTAGCTCATATTGACTACTTTATAAATAGTACCATTAATATAAAGAGTTTGTCAATTCAATATTTTCATGCTATATTATGAATTATGGAGAGGGACAACATATCCACATAATTTTACATTGAATAGAATTGTAGTAAATTAAAAACAGAAATGATCTGTGTACCGGTAGAGAGAGAAAATTGCACGTAAAATAATGAGCAAAACTCTATTCAGTGCAATATCAGAGAAGTTCTGAGAGAGAAGTCCACAGGAGAATCCTGCGTGGTCGATCTAGAAACCTGGCTTGCCAAGCAGGTTCGTCACTTTCATGGACAAAACCACTCTTCAAGTAGAGGTTCTTTGCGGGTTCGTTGTCGAAAGCTACGTGGACGTATAGATCACTGATGCCTAAAACATTACAACATTGTATCACAAATGGCAGTTTTTCATGGAGAAGTGTCACCATAAACGCTAAGACCACATTCTAAAGCAGAAGCCATAAAGACGGAGATGCTGATAATTCATAAAGATCATGACCATATTTAACATGAATGAAATTGTGTCACAAAATGGTTACCCCAATCTTCCGCAATTGTCTTTGCCTTTGCAACAAGTGCAAAACCCAACCCATTTCTGTGCACTTCCTTGGCAACACATACATTGCTCAGGTATGCCCTTGCGAAATCGGCCCCAATTCCCTGTTGGAAAAATATTTAAGAAATCCTTTATCATGCAAAATCAACTCACGACCTAGAATCATATCTATGTCAATACAAGGTTCAGATAAATTGAAACATAGAGTTCATGAATGAATTTGGAAACGATTTATGAATTCTAGAGTGTGTCAGGAACATTGCCAGTGAAATGTCAAAACAAGGGTGTACTTAATTGGAGAGAAACCTCACTAGTCATTGAAGATTACAGGAAACAATAGATGATGTGGAAGGATGTGCAACTGCAAAGTGTGCCCGCCCGTATGTGTTTTCTTTGAAAGAAAGGGTAAGAAACAACTCTCAAATGAATGAAGGACTACAAAAGGAATGGAAGAAACCAAGCACAATCAAACCAAAAATAATAAATCGAATCCCTGTTAGTTAGCTATTAGAATGAAATAGAGACTGGAAGACGCAACATCAGAAATTTATGGACAATCTGGCCGACTCCAGGCGATAGTTCTATCAAAATGGAGAAAGCAATCAATGAATCATATGTGGAGATAGTAGAGTTGGAATTCAAGTTGAAAATAAACTGAGGAGGAAGCTACTAGCCTTTTGTATGGTTCAAAATTTGATTATTGAGGTGATAATTCTCATGACAGAAATTAATATTTGGGTTCAAAATCAGTTAAAGACACTCTTTACAAAGTTATCTTTTCATCCATGATGTGACCGAAAAGGCTAGCAAATCAGATAGCTCTTCATCTTATAAAGATATTTCTAAACGGAGAGATATCCTTTATTCTGATTTGAAGGAGCACTTGCATTGCTTAACCTTCGCGTTACACTGCATGGCAAGAGGCCTTTCGAGTGTTACCCAGATCTCAGTAATTCTGCATACCAACCTCAGACTACACAGCCTCAGTAATTTTAACAACTAAATACAGGAGACAAGTAATCAATCCTAACAGTTCCAGAGTGAGTATTCTTGGCTAATGTACTGTTGTCATTCTCCAATTCAACCAAAATTTCACCACCTATTCAACTTTCTAGGCGAACACTCTTATCATGCCTGATCATGCCTCAATAAGAAATTGTCATCCAATAACCTCTCGTCATTCTGAATTGAGTGAAACTGACAATGCTTGATGTTAGTGCAGCCAGATTATAAGATCAAGGATTGGACGAAATTGAAGGTGATAAAGTCTTTTGAGTGTTAGCTGCTATAGCTTACAGAAGAATATTCTGCGAAGGCTTTGTTCAACTTCAAGTCCTACTCTGCTATTCACACATATGAAGCTCTCCCCTATATTACACGTTCAAACTAACCAACCTGGTTTTTCAATAACAATAAAAAAACACATACTGTCCAATGATCTGAATAATGGGAAACACATGAAGCTACCAAATTCTGATAAAAAAACAATCAAGAGCTAAAAAATTCCAGTTTTTGGATAATAAATAATAGTCAATATTTTGAATCCACATTTTTCACGTTAAAAAGAAATTGGGCCAAGAAGGTGACTCTGATTTTCATAGATAATAATGAGACATGTTCATGACCAATTATTCAAAAGAGTGAAAAACATAATTTAAGAAACTAAAGAATTAAAGAAATCGATCATTTACCTCAGGTTTCATTCCCGCTATTTCATCTGGAAGCCTTATACACTGATTAAGGTCGAGTGACCCAACAACAACTCGGTCCTCTCCATCATCAGAAAACTAAGAGAAAATGATAATAAAATAAATAAATAAAAGATTCGAGATCGGAACAAAGTAGAACTTGTAGAACTGATATAGTCTAAACTAAGACATAAAATGTTGCATAATCTTCTTCAATCGACTAAAAATCAACAGCAGCAGGAAAGGATAAAACATTGCCAGAGCATTACAAATAACATTCTAACTTTTTTGAATTAGAAGATCCTGCATTTACATAAAGAGGAAAAAATAGCCAATATACTTTTTTTCTTTCAATCTGCGTAATTCCTTTCCCACCTCTGATTATGCCTCTTGGGAGCCCACATCTCTTTTTCAGGTATAAGATTTTTTTTTTCATAACTTTGGTATGCATACATTATCAAACAACATTGCTTCCAACGCATTCACTATCTAAACATGTCTAGCACCACAGAGGCAATTCACCTCATGCGAGGCGAGGCTGCATGATTAATACACGTGTCTTGATTGTCCTGCAATATCAGATAGCTTTCTCTTTTTCATTGTAAACGAAGAAAAGAAATAATGTCTTTAATTTTCTGAAATGAAGGCTATTCCTTCAATCAACCTCTTCATTTTTCATTATCTCATACTTCTCAACACCATTTTCCGTATATAAAAACGTAAGAATTTACATAACCCACAGAACTGATCGCAACTTCAAAGTTTGAAATTCCTAAAGTGATCCAGGGATGGAGTACATACATACTATTCATATGGGAACGATGAAGAAATACACGGACCTTACATGTTGAACATAAATCATCGGCTAGGGTTGATATTTCGGCTAATGGAAGAGTAGCATTTATGCAAGACACTCTTTTAAAGCTAACCCTTTTTCCAGCAATACGTTCTTGAATTGCTTCATATTCGTTCTCTGCCAAGTACCTCTTATGATCCTAATAGAACTTGACAAAAAAAAAAAAAAAAGAAGTAACAGCATCAGTACAGCAAACGGAGAGCAAGAAATACTACGTGAAAAGTGAAGTCTTAATCACGAGGGATTTGAAATGGCAGCTAAGACAGGCCAGCCTCACGTTTCATTTATCCATCTCTATCGTTTTTCTTATCTACAATTCCTTCCTATCTCAAGAATCCACGAGTGTTCTCTCCATCGAGTCCATTATCAATACCACAACATATTTGTATCCACAACCGATGAAAGTATGCAAATGTGCACTCAATGATGTTCTCAAGTTATCGATAATGATACTCTAAGATAAAATACCAAATTGATAATTTGGTCTCCAGCTCTCAAACACTTGAATAAATTGACTCCCGATAAATCAAAACATTAAAAAGAAAATTGCTATCAAATTTTCATACATTCAAATCTTAGACCCAGAACTCACGCGGAACTTCCAAAAGATTTCAATTGAATTCAATGACTCACGTCGATGTCATAGGAATCGGGGCGGAACTGATTAAAGGTGCGAACGCGGAGACAAGCAGCAGCCCAAAGCTCATCCTTGGAGGTGGCTTCAGAGACCCTCAACTTAGATTTGTCAACTGTGATCGTCCGTTGGTGGGTGAAAACGTTTGAGACTCTAATGGGTGGACGACAAGGAAAACAGGTTGCAGGAACGGGTAGTTGGGTTGTAGGGAAATAAGATGAGGATGATGAAGAAGAAGGCCGATGATGGCGCCAAGCGCAGAGAGGAAGAGATGAGAGGACCGCCATCCCTCCTTCGCTCTATGATCGTGTGGTTAGAATATGGATAATGCTGCCAATTCTATAACTCCGATCTCTTTGCTCTATTATTTTATTTCATACACAAAGACTTCTTTGTCTTTTCACTTTTCCCTTGTATAATTCAATGGAGTTTCATGTTTTATAATATACATTTTTTTTTTCTTTTTAAAATTTGTTTTGTTTCTAAGTAATGTACTACTAAATGCAAATGGTATAAACTAACATTAATTGATTTTTTTTTTAAGAAAAAAATGTACACACCTAAATTTTAGGATTTTTATTATAAAAATTTTAAATTAATAATTATATCAATGAACTAAATTCTTAAACTATTATTCATAAGCTAATTCAAGCTCTCAATTTGAAAATTGTCCCAAACAAGTTGAATTATGGTCACTTTAGTGATTTAAGGCATTTAACCTTACTTTTATGACATAATTCTATAATTTGGTTTGGATGATCTTAAAGTATTTACAAGTTTAGAATTTAAAGGTAAAAAGTTGGTAATTTCATTCTCAAATAATTTAATCAACAAAGATTGAAAGAAGCATAAACAAGATCCAAATATTATCAGGCATTCACTCCAGGGATTACATAATGATTAGCTCCAGAAGGGAATGGCCCATGAGAACTTGATTGCCGGAGCCCAGGCCTTCAATATGTGGCCAAGTGGTTCCCGCAAGTTCCGGTTGGCATAGCATGGAACTCAAGAGTGGCACATATCCGGAGTTTTTCGGCAGGCAATGATTGAAGGAAGTCTCAGGCAGCAAAAGGAAACCCCCAGAGGAGTATCCTGAGCACGACACAACTCGTGCGATCGGAGCTGGGTAGCTAAGGGGGTAGGTTTTGATGGTGTCTCTTGAGAGCATTGGCATATTGGAAGTGACAAGCTTGTTCTTGCAATCTCCTTAACCATGCGTACTTTACCTGGAAGCTTAACGAAAGAGACTATGCCATTGCGGCAGAGGGAGCAAGAAACTGAACCTGGAGGGCCACGAGCAAAGGTTGTTCCACGGTTTGTACAACAGAGGTATAAGGCACATCTTGTGCAGAATTCATGATCGCAACCTGCAGGGGATTCAACTTCTTATCACCCTTCAACAACCCCACATACCAACAACCTGGGCTAAGTATATAATCTAGCTACTCATCAATTTTCTCTCTCTAGTATTTCAAAAGTTTGGTTTCAACCAAATCATTACCACCACACCACTTTAAAACTCACTAACAATATATTTTATTAACCAAGCTAGATGGAAATAACCCATGTGTTAAGCATCCAAGTTCAATTTTTTGCACATACTTCAGCAAACTTGTTAAAGCTTTAATGAAATGAGTTAGCAACAGAAAGATGCTTTACATAAGCTAGGTTATGCAAGTTCAGAAAATAAGAATATCACCATGGTCTATCAAGTACATGATGATATTGTAAAGGTACTGATATATATACCTTCAGCAGCTACCGCACACTTCCTCTCCAAACAGACAACGCATGGATCCTGGCATCCGGGGGCAGATTTACTACTCCATCCATATTCTCTGCAAATGGATCCAAAAGCAATGCAGAAATCAATTTTTTTCATTATGCCAACATTCTAAATCAACTGGACGCCAGACTTGCCCTATATGGAGACAGAAAACAAACTCTCAGCTTGTTATATGATTTTCTAAACCATCTACATTTTAGTAGAACAACTTATGTCTTCAATATCTTGTTTGTGCCAACCCAATCAATGTGAGCTTAGCCTTGAGGGGGCAGAGTGAAGAACTGTAACAAGAATGCCTGAAGCATATATTCCATGATGTAGTAACCAAAAGTTGCCAATATTGTCAAGAAAGTTGGTGGCTCCCGAATAAACGAAGAGTTCGTCATTTTATTTTCCACGAACAAAAGTTGCTTTGTTTGGAAGGAAAGAAACGATGAATGGTGCTTTGAGCATAGAGGAGAAGTTAGAAAAACAGTACCATCTCAATACGTGTATTATAAGCGTTAGGAGATTTTAGGAAATTTTCCATGAATCAAAGCATAATCCATCTAGATACAACTATCTGAAATCAGAAATAGAATAGACATGTTTTAGCAATAACTCGTAGAAAAGCCAAAATGCTCTTGTTTTCTGAAGTTCGTCTAAACTCTAGATTCCAAAGAAATAGTAAGCATACTGGACAATCACGGTGGATACGCTTAAAGAAGTTATATGCTTGCATTCATCATTGTGCAAAGGATAAGCAGTACAAGGAAATAACAAATACCTAGCAATTTGAGCAATACTCATAAGGGGCAGCGACAGGTAATGAGAGGGAGTAAGTTTTGGCCGGTCTATAGGCTCTGTGCTGAGAATGTCCTCAAGCCAACCTTTATGCCATGAGCGAGCAACCATCAATGGTGTCCAACTGCGTTATTGATTTGAAGGGAATGACCCATCAGTGTCATAATAATACCTTAAACTTTTATTCTAACACCATTCCTATCAAATTCTTCACGGCCACTACTGCTTTCAGTTTCAGTTTAAGGAACGGATCCCGGATATGCCCAATTAATTAAAAGAATCTAAGCTCATTTCTTAAAACTAATTTCTTATGAGTAGTTCAGAAAGATTGCCAAATACAAAGAATAATCCAAGACTAGTACGTACCCATTTTCATTTTCAGTGGTCAGACTGGCACCCCTGGCGATCAAAATCTATACGAATAGAAAATTCAAGTCATAGCCTCAAAGAGTAAAAAATAATGCATTCATTTAAACTGATTCAGATTTTTTCCTTCAAATGAAGTACATACTTGACAACATTTGGCATTACCACCGCATGCAGCATAATGAAGAGCTGTGCTCCCAGCACCTATTGGAGTTGCAACAGACAAGCTACTTATCATCGCAAGGGATAAGAAATCAAACTGTTCAACAACCCCTTCTTTTGATTTTTAACACTTTGCCCACAAGATAGAAGGATATGGTAGCATACATTATAGGGGAAAAAAAGTATTTCATTTGTCTGCCACTTTATTTCAACATCCCATGAGCATGCTAATTCTGGACTTTATATGACCATAAAAACATATCTAAAACGTAACGCCATTAGTTTAGAATCATATTTTGTTATTGCAAAAAGGGAGAGTGACAGACATGTTAAATGGTAGATTAGGAAGAAAAATAAAGGTTAACATGAAAAAGAAGGCCTCAATTTAAATATATATATATTTTTAGTCAAAGAGAAGGCAGAAATTCAAAGGGAGAAACCTATAAGATCAATTACGGTTCCATCGCCCACAGTCACCTCAGAAACAGATGCCCCAAATTCCAGAAGTAACTGCACGCTTTCAACTTGCCCATTGAGGGCTGCCATGTGTAGAGCGGTAATGCCACCATCTGCCGGTTGGTTAATAATCTGAGACAAGGCCCTAAAACACAGAATCAGGAAGTCAATGAACCATCTAAGCATTTCAACCTGGAAATTCTTGAATTTGACATGTACCTATGATCAAACTCTGAGATTGATTCTTCATCGTCCGTTACTTTACTCATTATATCCCTAAAGTTTGGCATGCTTGGAATATAATCAGCAAGAAGAAGCCTGATGCACCGGGAGTGACCATTTGAAGCAGCAAGATGAAGGGCAGTCCCTCCGTTCAAATAATCTGCTTCATGGACCTAAAATGTGCAAGAAATTTATGAATGACCAATAAGTTGCTCACGCTATGCACCAGAGAGCTAACATGAAAGATAAATAACAAAAGAATTTCCAAAGACAATAGCAGAGCCAACCCAACTCAAAATATTCAATAGCAGAGCCTACTTCCCAATTTCTATCAATAACAAAAGAATTTCCAAAGACCAAGGCTAATTAGTTCTCATCCAATGAAGAATATCAGGCTCTCAAATCCAAATTTACCTAAAATGTAAAAACTATTTTGAAATATGCCTGGCGTTGTCCAAAGACCTGGGTAGTTGAATTGTTCTTTTCCTCTCCAGGCGTTGTCCCCCGCGGAGGCCTTCCCCTCTGTTAAGATCACTTAAAACATTCTTCAGTCCACCGATTTCTCTGGTCGACTCGCTTGATTCTCTCAAGGAGTTCCAAATGATTGCTTCCCTCCATTTTCTGGATTTCGCCATAGTTATTCGTACCTCGTAGAATTCTTGTGGAATAGCGAATCGAACACTCAGACTTCAATTTCGGCGCCAAAATCTATTTACACTCGTGAAAGACGAGGGCAAATTCAAATAGTCTACGTGTATTTTGTGTGCTTTTTATAAATTCTGATTAAATAATAATGAAAAAAATTAAAATAATGTCATTTAAATGAATAATGAAACCTTGTAATTAGTTAATATATATGAAGAAGACATATTGGTGGAACAGGGGGTTGCTCAACGTTTCATAATAATGGAAAAAACGGAGCGTCGTGAGCTTTTATTAATAAGCATGAAAGGGAAAAGAAATATAAAAAGTTGCCACGTGGGACATGGGTTCATTTAATCTTTCCTATCCCAAACTTTGACTTTTTATTTTAATTTTTTAATTAAAAAATGCATTTTGTTCTAAACATTTTTTTCAAAAATACTTTTATACAAAATTATAATTTAAGTTTATGTTTAAAATAATATTAAGAGACATTTTAACCGTCCTCATAATTACCAAACTCAAATGTTTTAACTTACGAAAATAATGGCCACTAGAAAGTAAAAACTTAAACACAAACTATCCATTCGTGCATTTATCGAGTGTTGAAGGGTGCCCTTGTGTCAAAATTAAAATAAAACACAGGACATGATTTATTAAAAAAAATAAAAATAAGTATTTAAGGTGGAGTGAGGAAGTATGATTAAGTTAAATTAAAATGAATTTTGGGAGCCCCTTGGAAGCGTTTCATTTTGAAGCAATGGAGAGGGGAGGCAGGGCACATGATTTGAATTTGTTTGGACTCATCTACCACGCAAAGTCAAAGGGAAGGTTAGCACCACAATTGAAAGAAGCAGACAAAAAGGGGGAGAGGCCCTTCTATAAGGGGTGTCTGTCCCTGTATAAAAAGTCAAGTGCCAAAATCCAACACAGAGGTTCAATTAAAAATTGTCATTTTCCTTCACACCCCAATGAAATACCCTTCTTCTCAACAAAACCCTTTTATTTTAAGTAGATTTTGAAACAGGACCACTGGAGTAAATTTATAGGATGGATTACAGATGCGTTGTTTCCAGCCGGAGTATGCCTGCTGTGCTGCAAACCAATTCAATGAAATCAGTAAATGAAGTAAACTCCCTTATTCTACTTGTATCTGAATGTTTTACCTGTAATTGAAATCATCGCAATAATTGCGTTCTTGTTTTGTATCCCAGAAACAGGCTGCAAACTGACAGTCAAACCTTTTAGCCACTGATCTGAGATCTAATCTTTTTCTTAAACACTTTTATTACCCTCTTCTCATCGCTCCATCTCTCCCTTTTATTTCGTTTTCTGATCTCTCCAACCCATTTGACTTGCACCCACCAAAACCAAGCCTATGGAATGACCTCTTTTTTTCTTTGATTAACATGGATTCACTGCTTCTCCAAGTAAACGGAAGATTCTTCCCTTCGCCGCCACAGCTACAGCCTTACTATCTTGATGCACGGCCTCCTCCTTTTGCCCAGTCGAGTGGATTCAACTTGGAGAACAAGGTGAGTCCAAGTATACTCCTCATCATAATCATTCTTGCCATCGTCTTCTTCGTCTCTGGTTTGCTTCATCTTCTCGTTAGATTCCTCTGGACTCCCCCATTACAGAGAGACCCTGAAAGTTCAGACAATGTGACTGCCTTTCAGGGTCAATTACAGCAGCTCTTTCATCTCCATGACTCTGGGGTTGACCAGTCCTTCATTGACACACTTCCTGTTTTCCATTACAAAGCCATTATTGGATCCAAGTCCCCATTTGATTGCGCTGTTTGTCTATGTGAGTTTGAGCCTGAGGACAAGCTCAGGCTGTTGCCTAAATGCAGCCATGCTTTTCACACAGAGTGTATTGATACATGGCTTTTGTCTCACTCAACCTGCCCTCTTTGTAGATCTAGTTTGCTTCCGGATCATTTCTCTCCACATACCAGTTGTGCGCCAATTGTTCTTGTTCTTGAATCTGGGAGTGAGAGCTCTAGAGATAATGTGTCGAACACACAGGCTACAAATCCGATTACAGGGTCAAATTCGCAAGTGGGTCTTGGTGGGGATAGCGAATTTGACGCTGGGTCTAGCGAGATTGGGAAATTAGAGGACTCAAAAGCAACTGTAGTGACTGTGAAGCTCGGAAAATACAAAAATATCGATGCTGGTGAAGGTGGAAGTAGCGAGAACAAGAATATGGATTCTCGTAGGTGTTTTTCAATGGGGTCTTTCGAATATGTAATGGAGGAGAATTCGTCGCTGAAAGTGGCCATTAGAAGCACCCCAGCGAAAAAGCAGCCAAGCAGGAAGCCAGCTCTGCCATTGACACCAGGTTACAGAGCAGCCATGTCCGAATGCGAGTGCGAATCCAGAAGAGAGTTCCGACTCAGTGGGATTGAACCGTTTCGAGAAGTGAGAAGGGGCGAGAATACTGATAGGAATTCTAAGAAAATAGATAGTTTCTCAGTATCGAAGATTTGGCTAAGAGGAAAAAACCAGAGAGAAACGTCCACAGAATCATCAAGAAGGGCAGTTTCGTTTCGATTTCCCATTCAGAAGAATGGTGGGGATTGGAGTGCTTCAGAGATGGGCGTTTCCAGATGGGAAAATGAAATAATCCGAAGTGAAACGGAATTGGATGAAGAAAACCAGAGTCGTTGCAGTTTCGATTCTCAATTCAATCAATCTTTCGCGAAGAGGACGTTGCTATGGCTGATGGGAAAACAAAACAAGGTTACTCACTTCGAATCATCGTCACCTTCATCCTGTATCTCAAATCTCTAATTCTTCTCTGTTAAATTGTTAAATTGTTAAATTCCCTTCCTTCAAATTTGATTTCTTGTTGAGATAGATATGAAATCGATTAAAGAAAAGAAGTATAAGCAAGAATAAATGAATCTATAATAAAATCGAGAATTGGGATTCAGGAACAGATGAACTAATTAAATCGATGGGACACGAAATGCATTAAATAGGAAATGGGGATTTAAATTGAAATGACCCGGAAGAACGAGAGATGGAGGCGAGTTGTAGGGGCAATGGGCTGTTTGCATTTAATGGATACAAATTTTCATTTATTAGTTTCGGGGCTCTAAATAATAATGGCTGAAATTAATGCGGTCACGCCAGATGTGCCGAAATGGAAGGCATTGTCAGTTGGAATTTTTGTTATTTTCTGCTTAAATTATTAGTCTTTTTGAATTTCTAAAATCTCCATCATTTTATACGTATACATTTTGTTTTCATAATTTATGAGAAATTTTAAAAAATATTTTTTGAGTTTATCAATTTCATTGGTTATATCATTAAATTCATTTCCGACTCTCATCTTTAAATACAAATTTTAAATTCGTGATATATTATAAATTTAATTGAGATGATTCTATATATTATACATTATGTTTTGGTTTGTTTTGAATTTGGAATATGGTAGTTGGTTAATGTATAAGGTGAGTGGGTAAATTGAACGTAGAATAATTTATTATTATTATTTTATTTAAGGGGTTTTTTTTTAATAATTAAGTTGGATTAAAATCACTTCACATGTCATCGAAGGCCCATTGAAAATAGGGTTATAAGTGTAAATTACCCAGAACAAAAGAGTCAAAATAAAGGCCCAAAGGGCTTAGGACTACGTTGGGTTGGGCATCTTGAAATACGAAGTTATGGGCTACCATAGCAAAAATGGACGGCCCAAATCAACCATTGGGCCCGTTATTGGGCTCGTTAGTGTGCTCTAGCATTTGTTTAGTAGTTATGGGGTTCATGGTATGATGACCTCTAAGTAAGACAACCCATTAATTTATTAAACATGTCATTAGAAGATAACAGCAACAGTAGACGGCGGCTTGAATTTGTCCACAAAGGATAACTAATAATTATTAATTTCTGACGGCAAAGCGACAAAAACCTGCAAATTTGGCCAAATATAAAAAAACAAGTGTCTGAAAAGGGGAATTCAGTTTCAACAAAAGAAGAAAAAAAAAAAAAAAAAAAAAAAAAAAAAAAAAAAAAAAAAAAAAAAAAAAAAAAAAAAAAAAAAAAAAAAAAAAAAAAAAAAAAAA